CTGAACTAGAACTGAACTAGAACTGAACTAGAACTGAACTAGAACTGAACTAGAACTGAACTAGAACTGAACTAGAACTGAACTAGAACTGAACTAGAACTGAACTAGAACTGAACTAGAACTGAACTAGAACTGAACTAGAACTGAACTAGAACTGAACTAGAACTGAACTAGAACTGAACTAGAACTGAACTAGAACTGAACTAACTGAACTAGAACTGAACTAGAACTGAACTAGAACTGAACTAGAACTGAACTAGAACTGAACTAGAACTGAACTAGAACTGAACTAGAACTGAACTAGAACTGAACTAGAACTGAACTAGAACTGAACTAGAACTGAACTAGAACTGAACTAGAACTGAACTAGAACTGAACTAGAACTGAACTAGAACTGAACTAGAACTGAACTAGAACTGAACTAGAACTGAACTAGAACTGAACTAGAACTGAACTAGAACTGAACTAGAACTGAACTAGAACTGAACTAGAACTGAACTAGAACTGAACTAGAACTGAACTAGAACTGAACTAACTGAACTAGAACTGAACTAGAACTGAACTAGAACTGAACTAGAACTGAACTAGAACTGAACTAGAACTGAACTAGAACTGAACTAGAACTGAACTAGAATTGAACTAGAACTGAACTAGAACTGAACTAGAACTGAACTAGAACTGAACTAGAACTGAACTAGAACTGAACTAGAACTGAACTAGAACTGAACTAGAACTGAACTAGAACTGAACTAGAACTGAACTAGAACTGAACTAGAACTGAACTAGAACTGAACTAGAACTGAACTAGAACTGAACTAGAACTGAACTAGAACTGAACTAGAACTGAACTAGAACTGAACTAGAACTGAACTAGAACTGAACTAGAACTGAACTAGAACTGAACTAGAACTGAACTAGAACTGAACTAGAACTGAACTAGAACTGAACTAGAACTGAACTAGAACTGAACTAGAACTGAACTAGAACTGAACTAGAACTGAACTAGAACTGAACTAGAACTGAACTAGAACTGAACTAGAACTGAACTAGAACTGAACTAGAACTGAACTAGAACTGAACTAGAACTGAACTAGAACTGAACTAGAACTGAACTAGAACTGAACTAGAACTGAACTAGAACTGAACTAGAACTGAACTAGAACTGAACTGGAACTGAACTAGAACTGAACTAGAACTGAACTAGAACTGAACTAGAACTGAACTAAACTGAACTAGAACTGAACTAGAACTGAACTAGAACTGAACTAGAACTGAACTAGAACTGAACTAGAACTGAACTAGAACTGAACTAGAACTGAACTAGAACTGAACTAGAACTGAACTAGAACTGAACTAGAACTGAACTAGAACTGAACTAGAACTGAACTAGAACTGAACTAGAACTGAACTAGAACTGAACTAGAACTGAACTAGAACTGAACTAGAACTGAACTAGAACTGAAATAGAACTGAAATAGAACTGAACTAGAACTGAACTAGAACTGAACTAGAACTGAACTAGAACTGAACTAGAACTACTGAACTAGAACTGAACTAGAACTGAACTAGAATTGAACTAGAACTGAACTAGAACTGAACTAGAACTGAACTAGAACTGTACTAGAACTGTACTAGAACTGTACTAGAACTGAACTAGAACTGAACTAGAACTGAACTAAAAACTAAACTAAATTCTAAACTAATTCTTTGAACATTAAATTTAAAAAAGTTTCAAAAGAGCTTAATTTCATTGTCAAACAATAACAACAATTGGTTTCAAATTTAAAGTTAATTAATAGTTTTAGGCTATATTGAAAATAAGTCAGTTAGACATGATTTTTATTTAATTTGTAATTACAATTTGGCACTAAATACTATAATATTCAAATGTATGTAAAAAAATATTATTGCAAAAATCACTTAATCCTTTTAGACGCTTAAATAAAACAACATAAAATAATAAATTAATAGAATAAATTATAGAAAACAACATTTATTCTCTCACACCATAAAGTCACAGCAAAATAATAAAACTAATAATAATAATAATAAAAATGTAATAATAAAACAAATCCCCAGGAAATAAACTCATTTTGTAAATTGTTTAAATTGGACAGGCAGCAAAAAAAAAAAAAAAACAACTAAACAACTTTCAGAAGTAGAAAACTAGTAAGTAAAGGGTGTTTGAAATAAAGGCAAGTTAAGACAATAACAATTGATAAAAGTGCTATTCCAACGACACTAGTTTGTTTTTTAGACCTTTTTTCCTTTTTTTCTTGTTCACACTCACACACAAGAGTCGATAAAGACACATAAATTGACCAATTTCTTTTAAGTGGGCGGAGTAGTGACAGACGGACTTTAACGGCAGTTAAATGCAGTTAAAGTACTTGTTCAATTATTTAATACATACCAACAAACTGTTAGTGTAGTTGTAAGTAGTAGCTAGGAATATTTGTTTGCAGGACTAATGAACGTTGAAAATCGAATGGAATTTTGTAGTTTTTTTTTTTTTTTTGAGGATTTTTTTCCATTTATACAAATTATATTTCAAGCAACAAAAATTATTTTTGTTTTTCATTAAAATGAATATACAAAATTGTTTTAATAAAATATGCAATAATACATTAACACAAATCGATACAAAAAGGTGTATGTATGTATATAAATACATTAAAAGGATAAAGTATAATAATACGAATATAAAAATAAAGCCATTCAATGAGTAACTAAATGACTAACATATGTGGTACGTTGGTACTTTGAAAGTAGGGGAATATGTCCCCCTTTTTTATAAAAGTGAAAAAAAAAATAGAAAATAATTATATGCAATTATATGCGGGTCTATGGTGTATCCTGTTGCTAGCAACACACCATTTCTAGAAATAAAAAGAGATTTTTTTTCAATTTTATTAAGGTTCGAAGGACCATGTGTTGTTTTTCTATATATTGATTTTATAAAGATATCTTTTAATATATAAATTTATTACTAAACGAGAAGAACATTTTATTCAATTTCAACTAAATTTAACATAGATTCAAATTAAACTTTTGGCTCGAAGGACCAAACATGGTCCTTCATTCGTTTGAGAAATTAAACTTTAATTTCCAAAAACCTTTTAAGACTTGAAGTCTATTAAAGTTTTGCAAAAATAGTTATATCTTTATTGCAAAGGTTTTGGAAAAAAAACATTTAACCTGGACAACAGTGTATCAGACATTTATCTATCAAAGCCATCACACACAACACACATTACCGGAATGTAGTCGAGTCGAGGTGAAGCAAACAGCAACAACTAAAATAGTGATAAGCACTTTTTTTAAATTTAAAAGCTCGTTGACATGGCATACTTAAACCCTGTATACAAGTAAAAAAAAGCTAATAAATATGCATGATGGTAACTGCAGAATAGTCCAGAGTAGGAAGGAAACACATACATATAAAAGTCTATAATATTTACTTAACACAACAAAGAAATGGAGAGGGAGAGTGAGCGAACGAGGACATATGATTTAATATTTTATAGGCGCCTACTTCATTAAATTTAAATATAGGGTTTACTACAGAAAAACCGCACAGAAAACAATATGAAACTATAGATAAACGATCTGAGACACAAACGGTTAATAACATGTGTAGGTGTATATAGGAGTTTGGCTGTGGTTTTCTATTTTCTCTAGGATTCACCAACAAAGTTGCAAAATCAGCTTGGTAAGGGAATACAGTCATATGTTTATAATGTTTACATTAACAATAGTTAAATAAAGATATGGGAAATTAAAAACAAATGTACTCCTCCTTTGGAGGCATTATAAAAATGTCTATTATAAAATATCAAAGGTTCTTAACGTCTCCTTTTAATTCTCTTAATCTAAAACGCCTACTAATTGTGTTCAATATTATTATTAATGTAAGCAAATAATGTCTCTTAATGGCTGTTATTATAATTGTATATCTTAATAAACTGCTTATAGTATTAACAATATTGTTTTGAATAATTAAATAATCCTTGAATTCTTAATAAAATAATTAAATGTAATCATACAATTTAAAAAAAAAGAAACTCAAGAAAAAACACTTTGTTACAAATACATTTATAATAAAATTGTTAAACCGGATATTAAAAAGGATATTCATTTAATAAACTAATAATAAACTACAAACAAAACAGTTACATAGAGACAGAGTGAGAGATAAAGATCAACTACTTTTAAACACAGAGTATACAGCAACTACTTATTTACATTTAGTTTAAGAGAGAGAGAGAGAAAGAAAGAATGAAAGTATTAAAGTCAAAAGCAGTTAGTTAACTACAGAGAGTTAATAGAGAACAACATACAAAGCCATGAATGATAGATAAAATAAGATTTGAATTTCTGATTTTATCTCACATTTACCACAGGATTTTGAGGAATTTTAGGGATTTTCTAGGATGGACAGGATATATTTTTTTTTTTAAAGGTTGAGTTTTGTTTTATTGTTTTGTTGCTCTAGGCGAAAAGTAGACACAAACCTTTTTAGGAGAAGATAGGTGTAATGAAGATGGCGATGGCATAGAACAATCAGAAGAAGCAGAACTGCAACGACTTGAGCTGGAGCAGTTCGAAGCCAAAGAAGTGGCCTGGCTGTGGCTGGCCACTGGTGAGGTGGCCAATAATAATTTCGAAGTCTTATTGGCCAACTCGATGGTAGGACAGCCAGGAGCACTTCCTAGCAAACCAGCACCTGAACGCATACCAACATAACTGCCACCATTATTATTAGACACCATAGTGGGTGTTTTAGTGAAATATTTGGTGCTAAAGTCATTGGTTTGCAGTAAGCCATTGGGTGCTCCACCCAAGAGACCAGGACCAGTGTTGTTAAGGGCATGGTGACCATTAGTGTTGATAGACGTAAAAGCGTTTGTTGTAGCCAGAGCATTGAGGAAGGCTCCCCCAGTCGCTGCAGTTGCTGCTGGAGAAGAACTAGTTGCAGATAGACTAATGTTATTATTTACATTATTGGATGGAGTAGTTGTTGACGACGATGATGAAGTCGTACCAGCCATATTTGCTGCAAACATAGCGGCTGCCACAGCTGCCGAGCCATTACAGGTGGGTATGATCGTCAAGGGTGTAGCAGCGGCCGTAGAGAAGAAGGCCGCTGTAGCAGGTTGTTGCTGCTGTGTAGCCTGACCCAATAGATTGGAATTGTATTTGGTGGGCGTAGTGGGCGAGGTGGCATTATTCATTGTCATTTGCATATAAGTTTGCAGCATTTGTAATTGTTGCTGCTGTTGTTGTTGCTGCTGCTGCTGCTGTTGTTGTTGGGCCACAGCAGCCTGTTGCTGCTGTTGTTGTTGTTGAGCAGCATAGAATTGTTGCATCTGGAATTGATGCTGCTGCTGTTGTTGTTGCTGCTGCTGTTGATGCAGCATAGTGGCAGCGGCTGCTGCAGCAGCAGCTGTTGCTGGATACGTAGCCGTTGTATACGTTTGTGGCGTCATATGCAAATGAGGATGCGCTGGTGTTGGTGCTGCTTGTAACAACTGCATTTGCTGTTTGTGGTTGGTTTTTACAAAATTTTGTTTAGTAGTGTATAATTTTTTTTTTTCATATATATAAATATAAATTTAATTTTAATAAAAAAAAGGAGTATTTTTAAATAAAAAAACCATAAAAAATTTAAATTTTGAAAAGAAATCAATAATTTGAAAGAAATATTTTATTTAAGTTTTTTTTTTTTTAAATTGTGTATTTAAAAAAATATTAAAATAGACCTAAAAGTGCTGAGTTGAAGTTTTTCTTAACAATTAACAAAAATTAAATAATAAATTTTAATGAAAGCAAAATTAATTATTAACTAGTATTAGTAAGTAGTTTAGTATATAAAAAAACCAAGAGTTTAGAACAAGTGAAATATACTACAAAGTTAGTGAAATTTTTTTTTTTTTAATAATTTTATAAGAGTGAAATTTAAAAAAAAAGAAAGAGTAGAATGGAGTGGAGTGTAGAAGTAAAGAGTTTAGCAGAGAGTTGTATATTTAGCCAGACTATTATATATAGCATTTATTAAGAGACAGTTAGTAAGTAAGTTAGTTATTTTTTAACCATAAAAGTTTAAAGAAAACAATAAAATTAAAAATAGTTAGTATTTAAATAAGTTGAATAACAGCATTACTTTTTTCCATCTACTAAAATTAGCTGTAGTTTTAATTTCAGAGGTAAAACTCATTTTAAGAAAAGGAAACCAAACGGAAAAATCTTTTGGTTTGTTATACAAAAATATTCAGACATTTTTTAATTAATTTCATTTAATTTAAAAAGTTATTTAGTAATGATTTCCTGAAATCATTTTATATTAATTTGTTTAAATTATTTAAGTTTTATGTTAAAAAAATTCAATATTATAGCCTATAATAATGTATTTGAAACATTTGTTATTTAAACATTATTTTATCAAAAGATTGCCTAAATAAATTGTTTTGTTTGGCTCGAAGGACTATAGAAAACAAACATCCAGTTATCGCTTACCCGTTAGTTATTCTGCTGGTTAAAGTAAATTTTATACGAAAACTGTCAAAATATCTTAAAGTTAAAAACTAACTAGACATTAAGAAAATGGGGTTAAGATATCTTATCTTAGTCTTCGTTCGTAACTGATAAGACACTGTCATTATAAAATAACCAGAAATTGAATGGAAAATAATTTCAGAAAAAAATTTAAAAACTAATGTAACTTTAAGCCTGAAAGAATCATTCCAATTCTGAAACTCATTTGGGACCGAAGGACCATTTTAATTGGCTCGAAATTTAATTAAAAAATTACCAGATTATTATTCAAATTTTTCAAATAATAAGAACTGAAATGTCGTATTTCAACTGATTGCCTGCGAGTGTAAACCGTAATTAAATACAATTTGTAGTGTTGAAACATTGACTGACACTTTGTTTTTAACGGTTCTTCTTGGAATTAGTTTTGCAAATTTAATAATTATATTGTCATAAAATGATGACAGTTCTCACTGTTTTCAATATAAAACCAAACAAATTTTAAATGAAAATTGGGGACCTTA